CCTCTATCGGTGAACATCTTGCGACAGTCAAAACCTCCTTATTCTGAAGGCTTTTGAAAATTCCGAAAAATCGATTTTTGCTGGAAATGCACCTCCCTATACTGGACACCTCGGTATAGTGAACGCTTTTTTTCGGTTCCGATAATGTTCAATATAGAGGGGTTTTACTGTATATTGATAAGATGGATATCAAATGATTAACAAACTGATCCTACAAGCATTGTTCTTTATGCACTGGTGAATTTTGTAAGCCGTTTTTTGTAGATCAAGCGTCGAAATTTGTTCTAGAGATATTTCGAACATTTTGTGCTTTTATACTATTACTCAATAATTAGTTAAGATACTCACTAATGCGCTCGAGACGAAGCCTGTTTGGACCCGATACAAGAATCGATAATACTCCTATCGTATTTGGCAGAAACGTTGTCACAACCAATATGTATGTAATGTTGATTTGAAGATAAGTTGTTAATTTAAACTGATTATGCTGGCCACTGTCATCATTCTCTGAGATCATATTTACGAATGAATTGTCCGGATTGAAATAGTCCTTGTAGACATAGCCAATGTTGCTGCCACTGCTATTGCTGTGAAAATTATAACAGCCAGGCTCAACCACGCTCATTTGTATGGATTCATAGTAATAGTTTGGCATTCCACAGGGAAAACGCGCATATGTTGGACTATTTGCAGTTAACTCTGATAAGTACACCGATTGAACAACTGATGAAGTCTCTATTCGATAAAAAAAACAGTCGAAATTCACAATTTTCAGTAGTGACATGGAAATGATTATAGCACCCGGTGAAAAATAATCATTGAAAATAACGGTATAGAACACGTTCCAAAAAAAAAGCGTCTCACAAAATTTGGAACCTCTTCCAACATGGAACGGTCAAGAACACATTCCATTGTTTCTGGAACGCTTTTTTTCAAGAAAAAACGGGCGTTTATTTTCCTGAAAAGCGTTCCCGATAATTATCATCTACATGCACATTCTCTAGGGTGTGGGTGTGGGTGTGGGTGAATGTGTGCGAGTGTATGGGTTTTGGTAGAAGTGTGTGTTTAACACCCACACCCACACCCACACCCACACCCACACCCACATCCACACCCACACCCACACCCACACCCACACTCACACCCACACCCGCTACTGCCGCCGATCAAATGATCCGCTTATACCTCTAGGTATGGTCATCTGAAAAATAGTTAGCCAAATAAAGAAAGTGGGATAAAAGTCTTATTCTTCGCGGAAAACCAACAATTGACATTATTTTTTTCAATTTAGATACATAATTCAGGTCACTTACCAGAAGGATTTGTCGTAAGAATAAATTTTTGAATTCGGCGATTGACCGTATCAACGACAAAAATGTTCCCGTAATTGTCAAAAGCGGCGGCACCTGGGAAGAACAATTGATAAGATGATGAACCAGGAGTACGTGAACATCCGACTATACAGTAAAATTCATTGGATCTTGACCCGACAATGCGATCATTCCCGCTGTCTACAATAAATAAGTGGTCATCAGCATCCAGAAAGACGGCTACTGGACAACTTAGTTCGATATTTAATGTTTCGACATTTCCCGCTACCGTTATACCGTTTAGCTCTTCAAACTTGAAAAGTTGAACTCTGTGGTTGATACAATCTGCTACGTATAAATCAAAGTTTATGTTGACGAAGATTCCGTGAGGTTGATCAAGCATATTAGGTGCCAATCCACGGGTGCCATTGCCTGCGACCACAGTAAGCGAATCCACACTAACATTGAGTGATCGCTTGACAACTCGATGTGCATGGATCAAAGAGCAGTAAAGATTATTAGCGATATCAACAAACAGTCCAACGCAAGAGCCACTCATATTCATCACTAGAGGTAAGAATTTGTTGTTATTGTTATAAATAATAATTATTTTGCTATTGATGTTGGATAACAATAACTTTTTTTCTGAAAAAAGTTCTGTCTCACCTCCCTATATATCTTAAGTGCACCCGTTGTATAAGCTTATGCTTTAAAATGAGTTTTCAACTTCTATATTGCTGAGTCATATGATATAATCAAGCTAGAGAGCGAGTTGAGTTTTCAGAAAAAAAAGTTATTGCTATCCGATAACAATAATAAATAAAATTATTATTACCAGTAACGATAACAAAATAAGTTATTGTTATCCAGTAACAATAACTTTTTTTCTATTATTATTGTTATTAATAACAACAAAATAACAATAACTTCTTACCCATATTCATCACGACGGTGCTTTTCTTTGTATTCAATGCAAATTTCGCCACTGTACCATTATTACCAGTGCTAACGTAAATGTCACCATCAATCGTGACGAAAAGGCTTTGAGGTTGGAGCAAAGTATCCGAGATAGTCGTCGTCACATTGATACTACCTTCTCGCCACTCCTGAACATGTTCGTGGAAAAAGTCAGCTATATAGACAGTATTGTTTTGGTTGACGAAAACGCTCAATGGATGGCGGACTACTGCCCTATTTCCAAATGTGATTCCGTTAGGATTCCATTGTGCACATTGCGGTATCTTTGGTTGATTGTAAGACAATTCTATAAGATTACGGTTGTATACAATGATATTTATACTATTTGAGGTGGATAAGTTTAATGTTCATGTTTCTATCAACTAAATCAACAGATTTAGTCGGTATCTTGGGTGGGGTGTGGGTGTGGGTGTGGGTGGGTGTGGACGCGTGTGGGTGGGTGTGGACGCGTGTGGGTGGGTGTGGATAGGTGTGGGTGTGGGTATTATATTTGTTGTAGTCAGGGGTGGCGCAACCGAGGGGTGTGATACCCCCCAATTTTCGAAAATGTCTATTTTTTGCTCAACAAAATCCGCAAATCTTCTTAGGTTTTTTACCAAAGATAGTGTTACACCCTCCTAAAAATTCAAAAAATTTTGCTACACCCCCGAAAATTCCAAAAAAACTTCATTACCCCCCCCCCCCCCCAATGCTGGCTGAATCGCGCCACCCCTGGTTGAAGTTAACATCCACACCCACATCCTAACAAAGCACCATGTCTAGAGATAGTTGCCCAATCTATCTGCTTTTTTGAATGAACGATTCAAAGATTCATCTAATATGACACACGCATAACTCATATTTGATTACTAGTAGTTGTAGAAAAATTTCATAGCTTCAAAGCAGTTTGAAAAAGAAATAGATCGTCGCTCTAAAGAGGTTTACTCTCTAACTGAGTTAGATATAAGACCTGAAATAGATCAGAATTATTACTTTTAAAGAAATGAGAAAGATCCCTCTGAATTCTTTTCAAGTTCTACAATCTATGATTTAAATCTCTCCTGTTCAACTAAAACTCTAAAGAATATTGTCATTAGACGATGGCTGATCATCAATATTTGATAAATAAAAATCTCTACCCGATATTTCATTGTTGCCTGATATTTCATTGTTAAGAGTGAACAAAAGAACAATAATAAATACGTAGATATTCCACATTATTCAACAAGTTTTGTCCATTGTTAAATCAATTAGCTAATAAAATAACCTTCTTCTTCTTCATTGTCCTCGATGAAAACAAAATGACACTCTTGTAAATTTTCTCTATAGTTATATATCTCTCTTTTTCTCTCATTCATTTCTTCTAGAATAACACAAAGAAAAACAATAGCGTTCTAAGGAAACTTTAGTTATAGAGAAAACAATTAATTGATTTAAGGTTAAAGTAACGATGAGAACTAGTCACCTGATTGTACATTTTCAGATGGATTTCATTCTCTTCGAAAGCTCAAAATAAAATTTAAATTCTAAATAATCACTTTCTGTCTATGATTTTAATGAAGAGAAACGTGATAAAGAAAAAAGAGAATTGATCAAAACTTACCTTGATCATCGAACGTGTTTTAATTGAAAATAAGATATCAACTATCATTGTCAATAAATGATAGACGTTAATGAATAAGTCATGATTAGCTTGATGTCGTTTTTGTTTGACTCTGTTAAATAATCTGTTTTGTCAGGACTCAATTTTAATCACGTTCTTTATTTCTCTATGCGCAATAAGTATTTTTGCATCAGACATATAAAAAACAGAATTATTCATTGCGATACGATATATTTTTATAGGAGACATCAGAAAGAGATGCTTAAATTCAACTCGAAATTCAATATATGCAAAATCAAAACCCTGGAAATGAATCTTATGAATTAATAGAAAAAGTTCTATTCAAACACAATTAAAATGGCGAAACACAGATCAATTATCTAATATTCTTTGCAATCCATTCGGTAGCGACGAGTTGTCAAACAGGATGAACATCTCTCACTCAAATTGATTTTAAAAGTGTACGTGTTGACGGAGCTGTCGGTGTCTTCTCTCCTCACTCACACTCTCAAGATGGGTGTGGATGTGGGTGTGGGTGTGGGTGTGGGTGTGGGTGTGGGTGTGGGTGTGACTGAGTATTATCTTCCTCTTATATTCACATTTACACCCACACCCATACGCCGAAGTGTTAATTGTCGTTCCTCTTCTGTTTAATGTTTTAATTCTCTTTGTTGTTCTTCATCTAACAACTGAGACAGACGCTGTTTTGTTTCACCATATGAATTTTAATCGTTTCAATACAGCATCATGAGTTTCAGTTGATACTTTATAATTATACTCTTTGTATCGACCAATGTAATTATTCGCTACCGTGCGCAATTCTTTAGTCACACCATCTTGAGAGCGTGGGTGTGGCTTCTATATCCATCACCCACCCACACCCATATTCACTTTATATAGGTCTTGTATTTTTATCGTAATGATACACAAACTTATTCTTTTTAATCAATGCCTTTCGATTACAATCAAAGTTCAATGATTGACAGTTAGATTTTAATGCAATATAATCATTCGATATATTTCTATTATGTTAGAGATTTGAACATAATTAATAAATATATATTAATAATTAAATAAAAACTAGAAATTACTCTTGAGTAAAATATAAAATAAAGTCAATTATTTTTGCATTAATTAGAATTTGCTGTTGGTTGAATTGATATTGGGATATTACTATCACTATCACCAGTAGATATTGATGCCAATGAAGGCGGTGGTTCGTTACGATCATTCATTTTTACTCGTACCATTGCATTCATAATCCAATGTAATGATTTGGTTACCTTATTATAAATAATGAGATCGTTATAAATGATAGAAAAATACTGACTAATGTCCATTTTTGAAAAAAAAGTGCTTGGGGAGTAAGCTTAGGAACATTTCTAAATTCTTTTTTTTTCTCTTAAAGTTTTAAAATATGACTCAGAAAGTAAATGCTCGTAACGCAATATAAGGCAATCGTTAGTTTTCTGTATGAACAATTTAAATGTTAACATGATGTCAGTATAGAAATAAAGATTAGATTGAAATGTACATATAGAATATTTATGATGGAAATTCTTTCAAGTTTGTTTGCTTACTTCATTCATCTGTCGTTGTTGATCAACAATTACTTTCATCATCTCAGATCTATGGAAAAAAAATATTATAAAAGCTATTACAAAATGTGGATCATACTCATTCATGCTAGTTGTGCTATGCGAATGGTCATCTTCAGATAACAGAAGATCATTCTTTGTAGCCTTTTCCACGTTTGATCGAGCACAATCGTGAGTCGCAGCATTTTCAAATGCATCCCAACGTTCGTTTGTTGTATCGGCTGCTGCGATCATTTCTAAATTATTTTGTCATATTTATTGAATGAAATAAATCGAGTTTTCAATCTTACTAAAATTACGTAACAATGTTATTGATTCTGATGTATGATCATTATCTCCAGTTCCTTTATCGCATGATTTTGAGTAAATATAATGAATAAGTAATGCAATATGTGAAAATATGATCAATGGTGGATACGCGCATGGCGGTTGTTCAAAATATTCACGAATAAATGAATAACGTTGAGAACGCCAATAAAATTCTGTATTTTCTTTCACTTTATCAATTGTATCACTAAATTTTCTAATTAATCGTCTTCTATAATAAAAAATAAATACTTACGTAAAAACAGCAATTAACAAATTCAATATGAGAATATTAATAAATAACATATGAAATGCAAGTAAAACATGTGTAGCAGTTGCTTCAGCAACAAGTGATTGTGTACCATTACTGATTATCTCTAAATAGATATACATAGAATAAAATATTAAATAGCTTTAAAGTAGAAGAATTTTTACGATCAAGTAAATCTTTATCAGATACATCTCCATATATAAACCAGTATGGTTCATAAAAGATTGATCTAAATATATCACTACCAGTAAATGGAATTTGTTGGTAAAGAATTAATGCACGAGATACAACACCATATGCAGCTACCGCAATAAAAATCATATAGAAAAAAGCAGCTAGATCACGAAGCTAGAAACTCATTTATTCATATATATTGCATATTTTATTTAATATTAATATACAAACCATATTTTTAAGCATAAATAATTTGGGTCCTACAGATTTTAAAGCTACAACAAATCTCAACGAACCAAGGTACCATAATTCAAGATCAAATGCCCATATAATCCTACAATGATACTATTTATCGTATATATTACTCATATGAGTAAACAAACCTTCCAGCAGTAAAGATTCTATCGTCATAACCAGTATATCGAAATATTAGACCAAGATAAAATAAAAAATATGGTGCAATAAAAAATATATTTGTTAAAACTGTTAATATAGTTGATCCGGTTGAACCCCATCGTTCAACCATTCGATATTTATATTCATGAGTAAGCTTTATTAAAAAATAGAATTATTGTTTTTATCAATTAAAACTTTACCTTTCGAATCTCTTCACAAAACATAGTTGATACTGTAATAATAACATAGATTTCAGTCCAATGTGGAATTCCTAATGTATCTGGACTATCAAGATGATAAAGCATCATATAACTAAATACAAGTAAAAACCAAATATAACTTATCTAAATAGATAAAAGATACATGAAAGAATTAATATACTTGATTTAATAGAATTTTATTTACAAAATCATAACACATTCTGATGAATGGACTTCCATGAAAATAGCGAAAGCGAGTCCAATATTTTTTCAATGCACTTTTAATTGGTTCTTCATTTTCAGTTGGTTCCTTATCAGCATAATAATTGATACCTTTTGTTGATAATCTAAGTAAGAAATGTAATTAATTTGATAAAAAATAATTAATATCTGTTTACAATATATCTTGTATACTCTAAAGATCAAATGAAATAGAATTATTAATATAAAAAAGATCTTCATGTACGTACAGTTTCCTTTTTCCTGTACGAAATTAGCCATGGTGCTAAAAGTCCAAAAGTTATTATGGATAGAAACTGTGACGGTCTTGTTGTTGTTTGATTATTTTTGATAGATAATTTATTGTACCATACTTGAGTTAGTGTCTGATCAAAACAAGCTGTTCCAACTAGTTGAATATTTTCGCTTGAAATAGCAATCTAAAATTATGTTTAAGTATCAATATTGAAAACGTTTTAATAGATAACCTGCATGCATGTGACATTACCAAAGAGTGGTATTTGTCGTAGAAGTAATTCACATGCTGATCGTTCATTATATTTGTAACAATCATTGATAAAGTCGGCTGCATATTTTCCAAAGTCATCTGCTTGAATTTGAAATTTTTCTTTGAGATTAACAGTTAACGACAATTTTGAATATCGTTTAAATATAGCTGAAGCTATTAAAGCAGCACATATACGAGATTGTTGATGAATGAGAAGTATTTTCGTCATTTCGGGCATATCCATGAATATAGACCATAAAAATAAATCACGTAATAATTTATTTTTTTCAAGTAAATTTTTCGTTTCATTTTGTTGATCTTGAGGTTGAGTATCATTAATATGTTCTGAAGAAACTCGATTACTATTTGAAGGAGAAAGATCTATTGCAGTAATACAGCAACTACATACATGATTTGTCAGATCAATACAAATACGTTTTGTATATGTATTATATTCTTTTGAATAAATTGCTTCAAAAAATGAACCAATAAATTTATTTAACTTTATATCAAGTGTTGTTATTGTTTCCACACGTGATGAAACAAATAACCCATTTATATATCTACGATTGCTCTTTATTAAAAAGAAAATTTTTTATCGTCAGTATTAGTTTAAACTTATAATCATACCGTAGTTATTTCGTCGTGAGTAGCTTGATATAATTCTAATAGCATAGTATGGCGTTGTTGTTCACCATTTTGAGTAACAATGTGTTTCAATGGATTAAGCTTAGCAGCAACATGTTCATCAGGTGGAGTATGAAGGAGTTTAAATGGATCAAAACCAGCAGCAAGAAAATATTCAACAAAAACTGGATGATTTTTTATCAATGAGTCTCGAAATAACTTTTTGTAGCATACCATATCTTTCTATTATAAAAAAAAAAAACAGTAAATTCTATAATATTAATAAATCTCACTTTACCTCTTTAATCTCGTCATTATAGCTTGCAGTAGGTTGTCTTTTTTTTACTATTGATAAAACACCATCAAAATAGTTCCATTGAGATGCTAAATCTAATAATCTATCTTCATCGTCTGCATACTGTTGATTTCGAGTGTTTTTTTTATCTTTTTGTTCATTACTCTTATTCATTTCATTTTGTTTATTTTTCACTTTAAAAGAAATTTAAAGTAACTTAGTTCTTATTTGATTTTATTACATACTAGTAAAAATAGCTTTGAATATTGTTTCTGCTACACTTTTATCACGATCCATACGGAAAACATATAGCAAATGACGATTCTTTTTATCCAATATTCTTTTTATTCTTTCCGTTATTTTAATGATTTCACCTTCTTCGAGACTAGGAAAAAAATCAGTCAAAGCTTTTTTTACAGCTTCTTCTGATGGAATACTAAAAGTAAAAATATAAATAAATATTTTTATCATCTAACAAATACACGAACTATTCAATCAACTCACAATTGTTCATCAGTCTTTGCATCAGCTGTTTGATTGATTAAAGAAGCAAATACATCTGCTAAGCGGCCACTATCCTATATATAAAACAATGTAATTCTCATTTTTCAATAACATATACATACTTCAATAAATACAATTGGTCGATTTGCTTTTATATCATGTTGAAGAACTTCAATAGTATTCTTACCACCTTCAACAATAATTGTTACACCATAACCTTTCAATATTATTCATACAAAACAATCATAGTATTTCAATAATACATACATTTATGTTCTTTATCTTCACATGCTTCTTTAACTAAAGCATCTCGTTGTCCATCACTTAGATAACCACTTAGTCTACCATCGTCAAACAGAATACAATGCGTATGATTCTTCTCGATGGTTACGTCAGTATCGGCATCATCATCAGAAATTTGCCAACGACATAGCGTTGGTGAATAGCCCTATCAAATAAAATTATTTATGTATTTAACAAATAATGTCATTTTATGGATACATTAGTTGTATGTTTTAATTCAAAACGTGTACTTTCATTGATTGTTCCCCATTTTGTTAGTCCAATACAAATAATTTTATTTGGATAAGCTTTCAATAAACGATAATGAGATATTCCTTCGCCAATTAATTTTGATACACCATTATTAATACCAGTAGTTAGAATCCAAGCACCTTAAAATAGCAAAAAAATTGTATTTTACAGATATATATAATGTCTGATTATATAATTTACTAGACGTTGCTGCAGCATCAATTATACCACGTATAATTTCTTTTTCCAGTTTTTCAGTCATAGTGAAATATTTAGCCCCACCATAAATACTTAAAATGAGAGCTGGTTTTGTATCTCCACAATCATTAACCAACAACTCATAGATATGCTTCATATGTGACTGATTATTAATTCGAATATATTTACAACCAATAGACCCAGTGGATTTTAATGTTCCGTATATAGTCACAGGAACAATATTAAGATCTGATGTCTCATTATTGTTACGGTTTACCTTTAGTGATAAGTATTTACTATCAAAACTATGGCTTCGGACTAAGCGACCACAAGAACATTTCTTATTCTCATCACCCGGAGCAGTCTGTGCTGGTTGATTATAAATTGTACAAGTACGACCGAAGATTTTCTGCTCTATTTTGGCACGAGAAATCCAATCATCCCATGATTCTTTTGATGCCATCTAAAACACTTCAGATATTATACATTCTTTTTAATAAAAACGAGATCAAATAAGTGTTTCATAATAGTATGAGGTTTAATGAAAAAAAAAACTTATTTTCTTCGCAGAAGCAATGAGAGAATGAATAGGGTAAGGTGCTACCATAGAATAATATATATTATTGCTAAATTTTAGCGATACTTCCATAAAAATATCCTTAACCATATGAGAGAATTTTCTATTAAAAAGAATGGTTGAGTATTGATCCATCATCGTGGAAGCATAGCAACTATAGAATGAGAAGATATTTCATCGTTATTATTATAGAAAAAAAATTCTTTGAAAGAAAAGAAACGAAATAAAAAATGCATCGAGTGTTTCAATTATAAAAATTGTCAAGGCGATGTTTATATATTAAAGTTGTTACAATTTTCAACTGGAGAAATAATAAAAATGGAGATTTTTTGTCGTTAGAGAACATATTCATAAGACATTTGTAATATGACTATCGATCATTTTCTTATTTAAAAACAATAGATGTGATGTTTTATTCTATCTGAAAACATCATCAGACATGGTCGAACTTTTTCTTTAATTTATATGTGTTTGATGATGTTCTTAGGTAGAATGAAACATAATATCTATTCTTTCTAAATAATAAAATGTTTGATAGTCGTATTACTTGTGTCTTATGAATATGTTCACTAATGACAAAAAATCTCCATTTTTACTTTTCTTCAGTTAAAAATCGAAACAAATTTAAAATACAACATCGTCTCGACACTGTTTATAATTGAAATACTTCATGCATTTTTTATTTCGTTTCTTTTCTTTCAAAGAATTTTTTTTTCTATAGTAATAACGATGAAATATTTTCTCATTCTATCGTTGCTATGCTTCCATGATGATGGATTAATAGTCAACCGTTTTTTTAATAGAAAATTCTCTCATATGATTAGGGATATTCTTATGGAAATATCGCTAAAATTTAGCAATAATATATATTATCCTATTATTTCTTCTGTAAGAAAAATAATTTCTTTTTATCGAACTTTATACTACTATGTAGCATTTTATAAAAAATATAATACATCATCATGAGGGTGCGAGTGTAGATTGAATAAAAAACGAACCCACACCCACCCTCAAGATTTTATATGAAAGGTGATAACTGAACAAGACTAAAAAATGTCTGTTTTCATTGTGAATGTAAATAGTAGATAAATGAACATTTACAATCGATTTGATATTCCAATATTTTGAAAGATGTTGATAGTGATAGTATTGTTGCTTCTTTAAAAACTAGTGTATGACCCACTCACTCTTGCTGACACCCAGACCCTTCGAATAAATTTAATTGTATTTTTGATACTTTCGTTCGAATTCCTGTTCAGTAGTTACATATGATATCAAGCTTTCATTTCGAATGATATGTTCGATTAATTGTTGACACTGTTCTTCATCACGATAATCTGAGAAGTAAAATCAACAGATTTTTATAATATTTCCCAGATTGTAATTGATGCGAAGACAACTATTGAATTGAATATTTTCAATAAAATCAGATATTGTTTTTATTTGTTTTAATGATACTATCTTCAATTTTATTGTTAGTCCTTCGTTTTTTATAAGTTATTGGAAATGTATGAAATATTTCTAATTCAATATTTATTAATGAATCTAAAGTTAACTCTTGTAATAGCTTGCGTGATTATTTTCAATATTTAAATCAATTTTTTGATTTAAAATAAAATGAATAATTGGTTGACTTCAAATGGATAATCAGCTTGAATATACTGATAATATTTATTTATCTTATAAAAACTTCTGATCTTTCTTTGATTGATATCGACTACAAATAATTGCACTTCGTCATAAAATTTCTATGGATAAATTTTTTTCAATTGATAATTCTTAGGCCATATCACCTATTGAAATTAATTCAGCAATAAGAATATCAAAATATGTTAAATTATTTGATGTTATTAAAACTTTGAAGAATAATTGATGTACAATACTGCAAGATCCACAATTAGTTCAAGAAATACTTTCTAATTGAGAAATTTTATGACGAAGTTCATAGAAATTCAAACGTGTTTATCTTAATTTTAACCGCATGTCAGCGCTGAAACAGTTTGGAAAATAGTAAAACTAGGGTGTGATCTCTTAAGAAAATAATACTCACACCCACATCCTCAACGAATGTTTCAGGTGATTGATTAAAAAATTTCAAGAAAATAATCTAATAGAATTTTAATGAATTAGATAATTTTATCAGTCTATTTTTGTTTCTTTTTTTCTGTCATATAACTTAATCGTTTTGTTGTTTTTTTTCTTTCTATCATGTCTTTCAATTCATATTCTGGTGACGAAAACACAAACATATATGAATGAAATAAATAATGATTCAATGTTAGTATTTTCCTTCTCTTCCTTTACCTTTCTATGTCGAAATTTTGTCAGGTATCGGAAGAAGATAGATACATTAAGCCATCATTTATAGTCACTTTACATTACACAAATAATGACGTAATAAAAATAAATCACTTGTCAGGGTTATTTTCAGATGGAAAAAAGGAAGAGAAACAATATCATATTTATTTTTTTATCTTTTATTCATATTTAGGTGTGTTCAGTAGGTATTCACCCAACATTTGCTTCGGTATTGAGATGATATATTTTCAAAGGCATCGAAGAAAAGAATATTATTGTTTTATTTCTTATTTGTAAGATATTACTGATGTTTTAATCTATCATGAGTCAACTAACCATCATAGATTAAATCATCCAAAAATACAAGAATAAATTCTACAAATTCTTGCAATGATAATATAAAAATTTTTAAGAAAGTTTCTGTTCTAAATAGATCTCATTAAGACTAAGTCAATTCTAATAAGTATTCATGAGTGTAAGTGTAGAGCAATGATACCTCACTAATAAACATTCTTTCATAGGATCAATATCACATCAGTTTTATTAGTAGAGTTTTATCGCAACAAAATTCTTTTTAGATTTGTTCTACCACTGAACAACGTTCTTATTGTCATTGAATTATTAAATTTATATTCAACGGCATCGTAATGGCAACTAACAAAACACAATGTTTTATATGTAATAAAAACAAGATAACATATCTTTGTAAAGGATGTTCAAAAGAATTTTGTTCTACGGATTTATCAAAACATAAAGACTTATTAGTTGATGAACTAAATCTTATTATCAATGATTATGATCAATTTAAACAAAGAATAAATGAACAACACAAAGCACAGGAGTACAGAGAAATCATCATTAAATACTCACAAACATGTATTAATAATATTGAATTGAAATTCAATGATTTAAGTGAACAAATAAAACAACTTCAACAAGACAATGAATTTAATGAAACTGATTTAGAATATTTAAGAAATCAATTGATGAAAATTACACAAGAATTAAATAATCCATCAAGTATTTCTATTCAACAGAATTTTCTTCTTATTCTTTTTTTCATCAAAATATTTTGTTTTCACCATTTTCTAGAACCAAAATTCAATAAATGGAAACAAAATGGCATCACTGTAGCTGGTGGAAATGAACATGGACAACAATTAAATAAACTCAGTGGCCCTGCTGGAATTTTTGTTGATAAAAATAAAAATATTTTCATTGCTGATCGTTGGAATGATCGTATTGTTGAATGGAAATATAATGCAAAACAAGGACAAATCATTGCAGGTGGAAATTTCAGAGGAAACCAGATGGATCAATTGAATCGACCAACAGATGTGATTGTTGATCAAAAATATTATTCAATCATTATTGCCGATCATGGGAACAGACGAGTGATCCAATGGGGGAATAAAAAGCAACAAATTCTCATCAACAATATTGACTGTGTGGGCTTGGCAATAGATAAACATGGATTTATTTATGTTTCTAATAATGACAAGAATGAAGTGAGACGATGGAAAATGGGAGAATATAACAATGAAGGGCTTGTAGTGGCAGGTGAAAATGGACAAGGGAATCAATTCAGTCAACTTAATCGTCCTACTTTTATCTTTGTTGATGAAGAACAAGCTGTTTACGTATCAGATCAAAATAATCATCGTGTGATGAAATGGAGAAAAGATGCAAAAGAAGGAATTGTTGTTGCTGGAGGAAATCTCAATCAGTTGTATTATCCTGAAGGAATAATTGTGGATCATTTAGGTCAAATCTATGTGGCATATAGTGGGAATCATCGAGTAATGGGTTGGTGTGAAGGAAAAGAAGAAGGTGAAATTGTTGTTGGTAGATATGGCCAAGGAAATCAACCAAATCAATTGAATAAACCCACTGGTTTATCTTTTG